GGCAATGAATGTACAAATGTACTTTACACAATTGATGTATGTATGGAATGTGATAAGAGTTGTATGAGCCCCTAATAAAATGATTAACAAAAAAGTTCTTAAGCAATAGATGTGCCCAATGTAATACTATGTTCAATTTCTGGACTGTTGTTTCCATGAGTATTGGTTAAATCCTTGAAAACATCAGTGTTTTCACTCTTTACTGTGATATTGCTTATTGGCCCAATTGTGAGGATGTGGGTTTTCCTTATACTGAGATATGATCCACAGTGCAGACTGCATCCTTTGATCTTCATCAGTAAGTGTGCCAGGTCCTCTTTGCTTACAGGGAAAAAGAGTGTGCCATCCTCGTGCTGTGGTTGATAATGCGTCTTCCTCCTAGCTGATGCCGTGTTCTTCTTCATGTGGTCCAGCTGCTCAGAACGTTTCCTCCACATGCAGATTGAACAAGTACGGTGAAAGGATACAACCCGATGCACATCTTCCCTGATTTAAGACAAACAGAACCCTCTTTTCCTATTTGAACAACTAGGTCTTGGTCTGTGTATAATCGAGTGCCGTTGTATAGTCAATGAAACATAAGTAAACATCTTCCTGCTCATTGTTGCTTTCAGCCAAAGAGACATCTGATATTACCAACGAAACTTCTCTTCTGCATATAAAAAAATGATAAATTGGCAAAAGTTGTGTGATAGATATATTTGTAACCCCCCCCCAAAAGTCGTTGCTAAAGTTGCCCATGAATAACTGAACCCCTTATGTGATTTGGTTCTTTGGAGGGTTTAGGTTATACTTTCGTGGAAAAGCTCAGCTAGGTGGCCCAGTGATTCTGTTCTACTTCCTTGTTCATGGCATAGCAGGTGGGGTCTTAAAAGCTTGTAATCTACTGTTCAGGGCACAGTGATTGGTCTGCATTCACCTGGACAACAGGAAGAAGAGAGTGATGGGAGGACAATATAGACTGTATGATTGTCTTGTGTCCGGGCCCCGAGGTAGGGTGTACACAGAGAGGCAGGTAGAGTGTTCGCTATGATAACCAATTTTACTGCATAGACCAACTGTAGCAATTCACTGTAAGCCTGCAACCCACAGTGTGTGGGTGGGGCAGATGCTGATACATTCCAAATGGGCCCCTGAGGATGTCTGCCTTGTTGATGTTAGAAATGTGGGGCAGAAATGTTTATATAAGCAGTGTCTGTGTTGGTTAGGGAAGCAGGTTCTATTTCTGGGGCCACTAATCTAGTTTCCACCATCAAGGGCCTACATGACTGGGGGAGGGCCAAGGATGCCAGGCAAAGCAATTTTCTTATGTATGAACAACTAGCCGATGTGTTGATACTTTTCTGTTTGCTGTTCCCCATTGCCTTCTCTGCTTCCCATTTCAGAGCACCCCCCCCACCCCCCCAATGCACCATTTTCTTATTGTAGTTTTTGTATCTGTTGGGGAAGTTTCTGAATGGACACCAAATGTACAATTTTGACTTCTGGGCAGCAGAGGAATGACCTGGTATTGCTGTGGGTGAGACATTGTGATAGAGGGAGTGATAGCCTGGGACTAGCCAAAATACTAGAAAAATAATGCACGCATTAAGATTTAGTTTGTTGCAAATCACAAACCAACCAGTCCCCTCCCTTGCAGTAAAAATTTCTTTTCAAGTTAATCAGCAGGGAAGGTCTCTCTCGAGAAGGCGTTAAGCAAGGTGATTACAATAAGTAGCTAAGAGGGCCATGCCCTTTCAGATGGCTTGTGAGGCTTCC